TGATGCAAAACTGTTCAGGTTAACTTAATATAATGTGCAAACACAAGAAGTCTCACAACACTGAATCAGTGAAATGTAAAATCCCAGAAGAAATGATATGTTAATGAAGATAAAGTAGTGCATGTGAGGAGGGGAAGGGAACTGAAGAGAAACCTTTCATCATACATACAGAATAGCAAACACTAACTTAGGTACTATCACTCGTTGAAAAGACTCTGAAATCAAAGTAAGTAGATTTTCTGGAAGGTAAAAATGAAACAGATTTATGGAAAACACTTAAGCAACAAAGAAATTTGGGATTTCTTGGAAGATAGGGACAGTGCAGAAAATGTACTTCAAATGTATAAATCCATAATTTAACCTTGGATATTTCATGCTACTCTTGTCATCACATCTTAGGACACAGGAAAACTGGAAGAGGCTTTTTGAAAAGGTGGGGAGAGTAAGTAGACAATCAGAGGAGTGAAGTCACTTCTGTATGGTGACAGACTAGATAGACTGACTTTCTGTACCTTGGAAATGAGATAACCGAGAGAAGATAGGGTAAAGCAAATAAAATAATGAATTACACGAAGAGGGTGAATGTGAAACTATCTTTTCAGTAACTCTTGGCATACAAGAATTAAAGAGTTTGTGTTAATGTCTCCAGGCAGCAAGTCTAAAACAAAAAATAAGAAACTTTTTCATACAAACAATAATTAAACAATCCGAGACACTGCCACTAGATGTTGTAAAGGCCAAAAGTTTAACTGAGTTCAAAAAGGGATTAATGGCTACTTTTGTTTCATGAATTGTAAAATCATCCTGCTTAGACACAACTTCTGCCTTAGGAAGTTCCTAAACCACTAATTGCCAGAAGATGGGAAGGAGGGGTTGTGCAGCTCTTGCCATGCCTCTTATAATCTTTCCTTATGCATCTCCTAATGGCCATGTTGGGAGCAGGATAATGGGCTAGACAGATTTGTTTTGTTTTGGTTTTTTTGTTTGTTTTTTTTTTGTCTGACCCATTATGGCTGTTTTTATTCTGTAGGCGTAGATTTTTTTCTTTTTTTTGTTTTTTCAGTAATGGGGAGACAAAATGGAAAATTGCAACTTGTTTTTGGAGTTCAATAAATGCTATCTGGAATATGATTCTTAACAGCTAATTAAAAATAATCACAGTTTTTTCTTTCTTTATTTTAATATATAAAAAATTAGTCTACAAAATCATGTCCTGACTGGTTAGGAAGATTTTCACTAAATGCAGAGACATGTGGATGAAGGTGAATCTTTTATGTATTTCACTCGAGTAATTATGATATATGTGTATTTTAAAGAATAATGTGTCAGAAAAGCTGACATAGTGAGCAGGGGGAGTTTTCTGTCGTTCGTCTGTCAGAGAGGAGGTGAATAGTATTATTTTTGCCACTGTTGTGAGATGAGAAATATGAAGTTTCAGTGACACAACATCCTAAATTCTACAGTTGTACTTCTGACAATTAGTAGGAATAGAGGCAAACAAGGAGAGTTTCTTTAACATCTGTACCTTATTTGTACAACTCTATCATCCTCTTTTCTCCTCAGACTGAAGATTGACTTTTGGGATTTAAAAAAATGTGAACGATTATTTGTTTTTTCCAACTAACCTTCTATTCTAGGTTTTTTGCATGTGAATTTATAATATAGGAGTTTATTTGTACCTACTAAATAGATTTAATCAATTATTATAGTGCACTTTAGAAACGAAAAATATATTTGTGTCAAATGATTTTATCCTGTACTGCATGCAAACTATACACTTTGTTATAAATCATGTTCTCAAACTTCTAAATTTGTTATTTTTGTTTATTAGGAAACCTTGCTTCAGATCCAAAAGGTCAATAAGGAGACTACATACAGCAAAAAAATCAAGCCACAATCGATCATGAAATGCAATTACACAATATTCAAAGCTGAGTGAAATAAAGACCTTAAATAGCAGTAGCCTGTAAAATTTAAAAATAAAAGTAGTTTTGTTGTATATTGTGAAAAGGGGGATTGGATTAATGAAAATGATCTCTTGTATCTGTTGATTTATATGAAATTATACTTCGGATGATCCTCCTTTTTGTATTGTATGTTAATAAATTTTGGTTACTTGTGGAATATTACTTCAGTGGTCTGGAAGGAGAATTCTTGAGTTCAGCCAGTGCTCAGTGTATGAATGGAAGCATGAGAATGAAAAAGGCCTTCTGCCTTGTCATCCTTAGCTTGACTAATGTAGTTGAAGATTTTGTTCTAACAGTAAGGCCCTACATAACAGCACAGAGCATTAATGCTGTGATGCTGGGTTGCAATAAATCATTATCTGGATTAAAAGAACAGCGGCCATAATATACATTTTCTTTTTGTCCTTTCTGGTATAACATCTTATAAAACTGCAGCATGTATCCAGAAGGTTGACAACAATCTAGTACACTGTCAGACTAGCTGTAGCATACCAACAGAAATTTGGAAAAAAAACAATTAGTCTCAGTCTCTCTTGCTTTCACTTAGCTTCTTTTTCATCTTTCAACTTCACTACTTCGGTATTTTTCAGTTTCAATTTATCCTTAGCTAGAGGAAGAGACACTAATGTTTTGAAATATTTCCTGTTAAGAAAAATTGCCAAAAATTAAGACTGAGTCTTCAGCTGATGAAAACTGTCAGAAAAACTATTTTATTCATTGCAGATCAGAAATCTGAAATTCTTGCTGGATAAAGTCCCCCTTTTGGAAGTGTGTTATGTGTCCAAATATTACATTCATGGTCATGCTTGTGTTTATAAATTCTGCAGAAACTCTTTCAGACATATAAAAATCAAAATCTCCTATGCCGTGGACACTTGCAGTGATTCTTTGAACTCTTGGGCTCCTGCTTTGCTTCATTACCAGTGAATGATATTGTGTTGAGAGCGGATTTTAGCTTCACGTAACTGTCGTTCAGATTTTTATATATATACGTATTATATATGTACTATTGACAGTAAAAATGACTTTTTATGTATATTTATGTATATATTAACCAGAGGAACTGGCCTCTTCTGAGGACTGGGGAGGGGAAATGTAAACTGAAATAATTTGGACCCACTGTTAAATCTGAAAAAAATTTTGGAGGGTTAATTTGTGGAGATGGACAATGTATATTCTATCCTTGGTTTTGAAGCAAGGTTCAGATGGGACCCCATGGCAGAGGCGATGCTCCCTCCCTGGGGAGCTCCCTCCTGTAAAGGGAAACAGAGGTCCAGCCTTAAGTATGGTAGGAGAGAGTCAAAATACAAAGATGGGAGCCTGCATTCTGTGCAGACAGCCTGAGAGAATGTAGGAGGCAGCAATGGGCTAGGCAGGCCTTGGAGAGAGGGAGCAAATTTCCAGGGAGTAGAAGGGATCGGGGTGCTGCTGCTAAGGAATTCCCTGAGCTAACTGGAACAAAAGCAGTAACCATATCCTGTCTGCCAAGACAAAGTAGGTAAGGATGAATGCGGTGGTGCAAATGTCTGACCTAGGGTCCTATGTCTGACCCTTACATACTGTTACATATGTGTTAATAACACTAGTCACGTGTAATAAAACCTGGTTCTGTATATGTGTATGGTTGGGGTGAGGGTTAAGGTGTTTTTTTATTAGGATCTGGGCACCTCACTATAAGAAAAAATTCTAGGCAACTCTGTCTCAAGGCAGCAGTTCCCTCTGGGAAGAGCTCAGTGCAGCTTCTGCCTCAAGTACCGCGTTTTGCTAGCTGGAGGGTGCAAGGGCACAAAATGCAGTCCCATTGCCCTTGTGTCAGGATATACTCATCAAGGAGTTTGTCAGCCTCACTGGTTCAAAGCGTATTTGATGTAGTGCAAAAAACGGGATTTGGAAGTCAGATGCACAAATTGTATAGAGAGCAGTGAGAAATAGGGGGGAAGGTAAAGGACTGGTCAGGAAGTAGAATCCAACTGAGGTTTAAGGGATTATGATACGACAGAAACGGATATTACTGACAGTACTGATTGCTGTCTTGGTTTGTCTGTGTCAGTGTGGGTGAAAGGGCTTTGGAGAGATGCTGCAAGGTAAAGCCTTTTCTGTTAAGTGTCTAACAGGCAAAGTGTCTAGAAAAAGCTGTCAGTACAGTCCCATAAACAACAAGAAACCACACTCATAACTTTGCTTCTTCATCACGTTAAACTCTGAATGTACAAACTCTGAATGTCCCCAGAAAGTATAGTCTAAACTTCTCTTGTTTACTTATCTCTAATCTCTACTGAGTTTTTTCACAAATAATTTTATTGCAGGGTAAGTGGTGTACAGGTGATTACAAACCCAAAACCTGTGTTTGGAATAGCAAGCTAAGCATGTCACTGTGTTACTACAAGCAAATTTTTTGTTCAGTTAGTTGCCTTTTGTCAATCGGCTGCAACCTGGTAGGTGGACGCAACTGTATTGTATTGATAATGGTTATTCTAAGGTTGTTTTGCTTCACCTCATTCTTCCTTCTCTTTCTCTGCCTTCTAGCATGCACTTAATTCAGGTGGATTCCGTTCAGCGATGGATGGAAGATTTGAAGTTGATGACAGACTGTGAATGTATGTGTATTCTTCAGTCCAAGCCAATCGGTATTGAGAAAGATGAACAAAATGAACTTATCCTTTCCTCACAATATAGTACATGTGATAACTTGCAGCTGCTACTAAAGAGAGCTTGGATCATAAGCACAGAGTTGACCAGGATTGCTCAAAAGCTAGAGAAGAACAGATGGCAGAGAGTTCACAGCATGACAGTAAGAGTCAACTGTCACGTACGTTCAATGATAAATGAATACAATACATTCACCAGGAATTCTTCAGAAGAAATGCACCAGGTAGGATGCCTTACATGATGTCGTGTTTGTCTTGTTTAATTTTTCTGTTGTAATAATTGAAGCTTATCTTAATCTGTGAGATATTCTTAGTCACTGATACTGGTCCCTTGTTGAAGAATTTGTAACCTCTGTTCAGCTATCGAAGCATTCTTGACTTATTTTGGATCCTATTTTATCATAGACCTGATTCTGAATGTTAATAATATTGACAAATTACGCTGAAAAAAGTTTTGGTTTTGAAGGCTACCAGACTAAAGTAACTAGATGCCCCATTTGCGAGTTTTTATCTCTACTTGTTTTATGCACAAAAATAGCAAAAGGATATGCATAGTATATATGTTTCTGGAGGGTTATCACCTAATTATCATAAGCACACATTATTTATTTTTAGAAAGCAATTGTGCATGTGGATATTGCTTTAAAACCACTTTCTCTCTCTGCAGTTTGAAAAACTTTTAATAGACAAGTGTTCAGAATTTACAGCATTCACAGAAAGGTAATTTAAATTTTCTAGTTGAAATATTCATTTTGCTGTTTTATTATGTTGTAGAATTTCTAATGAGAAGTACAAATCTACTAACACCCTCAAATGTTTGAACTAGGCCCCCGCAGCTCTGAAATGCATTCTAAATTTTAGCCTCTGGTGGGTGAAGTGGTGAAGTGAATTGCTTTTATCTAAACTACATCTTAACGAAAGGTGGGATCTGCTGTTGCACAAAGAGCCTGACATAGACACAAAGCTGCATGCAAGTGGATTTTTCAAGGCTTTTAGACATCAAGGGAGAAAGTCTGGCTCTAATGATCAGCAACGAAGTTCCGTTCAAGTTCTGTGGAGACAAGATTTCAGCTCGTGTGAAAACTTAAGTTGCAAGATTGTTGTACTATGTGTTCCTGCATGCACATATCCATGTATTAGTAACCAAACCCAAATAAAGACACATACCTTTAAATTGTGTTTGCAGGTTTACTCAGCTCAGTGCACCCCAGAATGCTGAGACTGGAAAACAAGAATCTCTTTATAATTTTTCTCATGATATTTCCCCTGCCTAATATAAGATATCCTGTTTCTTCCAGCACAGTTCAATCAGTCTTTTTTGATTTACTTTAAACACCGTGCAAGTCATCCTGCTTGGGGGATCATCAGGGAAGAAAACTCCATCTAATTATTAGGAAAGAATACTTCTTTAGCACTACTGCTTTTTGCCAGACCCACACAGCTCAGACCTTACTTTTATATTCTATCATGAGACACACTGATTTAATGAGAGCTCCGATCTGCCCCAAATAAGCCCTCTCCCCCCTTGTCTGTTTGATAAAAAGTTGATATAGGTGGGTGAAAGACAGGGAAAGCTGAAAAGGGGACCTACTATGTACGTGGAGACACTGATCAACCAAACTATGTCGTCCATTACAGTGGCCTGCCTGGATGGAATATATTTTGACAATTCAAAGGAATGCATTTATGTAAGGAAGTTATTAGTTATTTCATTTTAATTGTACAAAGTTTTCCATTTTTATTTAATTTCTTCATTTACAGCCAAATATCACTGGTTACAGTATAGCTATACTAACTCTGCAAAGCTGTTGTACGTAACCTTTCTGCATAGAAGGCCAAATTTTACTTTGAGTATGCTGTTTAAATTTAAAGGAACTTTACTCATCTGGGCAAACATTCATTTTGGGTGCTTATCCTGCGCTCATTAAACTATGGCAGAGAAGGTAAAGAATTGAAAATTATCAAAAGTACTTCTTTGGTCATGAAAGATGGATGGATGATGGATATACAGAGCTGCAGCTGAAATGCAGGCATCCTGGAGTGGCTGTAACTATAAGCACAAGTGGAAAATAGCAGAGTTATACTGCTATAAACACAGCATCTGCAGCAAAATTTGTCCTGCAGTCTGTGAAGTAAATTGTGATTCCAAAATGATTCATTGATGTCCACTGCTGTCCATTGATGGTATACAAGAGATTCTTGTTTTCCAGTCTCAGCATTCTGGGGTATACTTACTTTGTATAGATAAGGCTTTGATTAGAGTCTGGTGTGATGCTAATGGCACAAAGGCAGTGTCCTCATGTGAGCAGTTGAATTCACATTATATCACCATTATTAACACAGAGCTCACCTGTGACAATCAGATTGATATAATTATCATTGTCTATTGCAACTTTTCTCCTTCATCCTTTTTCTTTCTCTTTCTTTTCAGGTGCCTACAAACTGAAGATGAACAGATACTGAAGTCTATGAAATCTTGTATTAAGGAAACGCTCACTACTGTAGCTCAGTATTTTGGCCAGTTAATAGATCTGGTTTTAACACATGAGGCACAGGTTAGTTTAAGAAAAAAAAGTTTTTAAGAATTGTTGACTCTTGAACAAAAGCATCCATTAAGATGAGGATTATAATTACAGCTCTCAATTTCCAGCAAATTTATGATCAGTAATTCAAATATCTTGCAAAGAGATTTAGATGTTTGTATTCTCAAATTCTCCAATAACCTCAAATCTCAGACACAATGGTCTTGTGGCTCAATATGTTCCTTACTCCTCCTGATAGGTGTCCTTCATTGCAAGTTACGTAATTTCTGGACAGTGTCTTGTTAATAACACCTTTGGACGCTTTTTCTCTTCCTTTCATGCAGACGCTGCTTTTCTTCAGAAACCCTCAAAAAATTCTCTCCTGCTCTCAATGATTCTCATTAAAAATTAAACTTTTTAGAAAATGTATGTATAGCAAGTATGTTATTACAGCAGACATTTTAACCAGTGCATGTCTTACACTCTAGGAAGTAGTGATAAAATACAGTGTTGTGTACAGGCTATACGTGTGCATGTAACCTTCCAAAAATGGTGCTGTGTCATTGGAGGCATAATTTACAGCTTCCAGTGGTGATTAAAGGTAGATAAAGATACTGAGTGGTTAGGCTGAGACCTCAAATGCATAAATTTTTTTCCATTAAACCATTCTTGCAATAATAGCAACTTGCAAGTCTACCCAATCTATCTTGACTTATACTAGTTTATTTCTCAAGATCTCATTAGTAATCCCTTTGCACCCTCTAATCTTTCTCAAATATTAAATCCTAAATGGAATTATGCTCAATGAATTTGCACATATTTTAAAGGTGATGTTATGCTGAAATCTTATTTTGTCCCTACAGAAAAAAGGGAAATGAGAGGCTTAGTGGTGCGGAAATAGTTAAGTAGTATTTACTGCAGTGCTAAAACAAAATGAAGACATAGTATTGGTTAAATTCTAATGTACCTTGATGCATTAAGATAGGCAAAAAAAACCAAGTTGTGGCTCTTTCAGAAACATCCCTTGTAGTTCTAAAAGATTATTGCTAGGAAGAATCTGCAGAATACATTTGCAGAATTCTAGTCAAACTAGCAAGCTACTTGATAACACACTTTGGTTAGGATTTATGAGAACTAAATGAAATACGACACATGAGTTGAAGTGTGTAAATAAATGTGCATATTTCAAATTCGGTGACTAGGTTGTGGTTGTTTTGGTGCTTATTCTTTTTAGTCTGAAGAGCAGTTCTTCATTGCTAATAGTTATGTCTTTGGGCACTTTGACATCTACTGACACACCTGAAATCATAGTCCCTTTTCCTTTTAAGGGAGCAGAATTAATTACTCTGCACCATCTTGTGTGCATTTGTGTGGCTGAAGACTTAGATCAGAAATCATTAATAAAAACATTTTTAAGAACCGCTTTCTAAGCCATTCAGTCAGGCTGCGTACCCACTTCTGCCATTGTCTGTGTGTAGTTTGCTGCTCTGGAGCAGACTGAAAATCTGTGTGACAGGGCAGAACTCTCAGCTTAAATTGTGTACTTCAGAGCTTTCTTTTCCAATTAATGTATCAAGATTTTATTCAGGATAGGTTCATATCAAAATGTGAACTGATAAGTTACGTCTTTTATGGAACATTTTTCTAAGGGGAGATGCTAAAGGTGGGAGAACACAACCTCTTAAAGGAAAGATAATGGAATTTTGTATCAGTAACTGTAAAATGTGGGATATTTCATTGCACTTCTTTCAGAGTTTGATTAAATATAAAAATGCTTCTTCCTCCTAGCAAATATGAGTAATTCTTCCTCTAATAATGGTTTGTACTTTCAGCAAGAGTAAAATTAAATAAACTTCATGTTCTTCTGACAGCTGTGTTTCTCTGTGAAGTTGCAGTGGCACACATGCGAAAGAAAGATAGCTATTAACAAAGATAAAAATATTTAACCTGTTTCATACATTGGAGAAATAAAATATATTTCTCTACAAGAATTCCCTGTACTAGTCGATGGCATTTGCTGTGTATATGGAGTATAGGGATGAACCCAGGGCCTTAGAAAGTCATGTTAGAAAAGATATAGCAATATTCCTTATAAAGTAGGTGGAAATCTTGTATCACCTTGTGATACAGCTTCAGCACTAAGACAATTAGTTGTCCTCTGAAAATTTTAGTTCAATCCCAGGCCAAACCCAATAATAATTTAATAAATATCTCGAGTTTTTTATTGAATGTTCTCACACACATACCTGTTCTCTTGCTCTATTCATATTTACTTTTAAATATCACTATTTGTGGTTACATCTATTCAATGCAATGATAAATGTGTTAGTGATCTCAGTTTGACTCCTGCCTATGTGTTGTTTTTCCTTTGCTTTCTCGGAGTGAGAAGTAAAATGATATGGATTAAACAAACTAGACTTTCTACTCCATCTTATCTTTAAATATAACACTAATATTTTTCATTGGAAGTAAATTATGTTTATTATCTTGTGTCACACAGAACCTGCTGAGACAAATAGAATTGTCAGATAGTGTGTATATCACCGAGTCAGCAATTAACAGTTTATTCAGCCTTACCCAGGAAGGTGCTCATCTGTGCCACATCATAGCTAAGGTAAGAGGATTTATGGATTAATTCAAAATAAACTAGTGATACAAGTACACGATTTTACTTAACACAGTAGTGGCTGCAAGTTTTGAAATGTACAGTACAAGATGAAATACTGTATTTCAGGAGACAAATAATCTAGGTTAAAGAACAACAAAATTTACTCTGATAAACTATTTCTTTTCTTGCACTGCTTTTTACAAGGCTTACTTACTTACAATCTTTCTGTTAGATTAAAATTCAAAACCAACCAAACAAAAAAAGAAATAAAGCCCACAAACCCCAAAATCTTTAATTCAATAAAGCTCAATGCACGTGCAAGCAACTGCCATAGGACCGTAAGCTCCAGCAGGCATTGATTGAACTACAGTTGTCTTTGTGTCACCTGATGTCTTACCACTCACTTCAGCATCTTGGGCATTACTTTAGTGTCTCTCCTGACAGTACTTTAAGTACCAGCCACAGAGGTGGAGAGAAACTTCACAACCCGCCATGTATATGGCTGACAAGTACTCAGAGAAACAGTAAGGTTTTTCAGCTTTGTGTACAGAGGAGGTTAGAGACGTTATTAAAGATGTAATTTAAAAAAAAAATACTTTGTATACCTTATTTTCCTTTTACAGAGGAATGTCATTACTGTTACTTCTGGCAGTGTGTGTTCTCATTCACTGAGTAGTTGATGCTAACTTTCGCTGCAAACGAATCATTCTGCCAAGATCAATGCTACTAGCAATCCCTGCTGAATTTGCACCTTTGAGGACATTTAAATCTTGAAAAAGTGAGAAAGGCAGGGCACTGTGTGAGGTCGAGGATAGGATAATCACAACCGCACTGTGTATAAGAAGAAGAAAATTTCCTTTCCCAAGCTTCTGCTTGTGGAGTGGTGTGCCATTCCCTTGTCCTGCTCAGAGATAAGGTTAAACAGGCATTTGATTCATTTTATTTCTGATCTGCATTTAGATGGAGGTTTGCACCATAAAAAGTATTGCTCTGTTCTGAAGGCTGTGAATGAGGTAGACTCAAAAATGTGTAGTGGATCCTGGCAACAGCCTGAGAGGTTTAACTTTTTCTAAACTGATATTTGAGCTCCACTCAGTGGTATCCAAAAACAATGTTAAAATGTTAAGTATTGAGGAAGGACAGAACTAACAAACTGAGGAAAATTGCTCTTGTGTTTTTTTAACATTGTGTGAATTCCATAACAGTTTAGTTTAGCAAAAGTAAAGTATGACCTTCCATAAATCACTAAATTAATTTGTTGTGAAAACCTTGATGTGTCACAGGTTTACAAGGGAAGAAATGCACCCCCTTCTGCAAAGAAACCTAAGTGGTTGCCAAATTACAGCAGTGATTGCATCGCAGGTGGGAGAGGAATTGTAACAGACCAGAATTTTTAATTCAGTCTCTTCAGTGAGTTAGCTACGACAGTGAAAGTGCAGTGTGACTTTAAAAAAAAATAAATTAAAAAAAAAATCTAAATGACACTCATGAGGGTGAGAATAGATTCAATTTTTGTAAAGATCTCCAAATCTGCCACAGATACAGAAGTTCTCTTGAGAGTTGTCATTACCTTTGTGAAAACTAGCCAGAGAAGTGGAATATTTGTTTATACTGAAAGCAAAACTCAACAGATTTGTTTATGTAAACTTGAAGTTATATTCTCCATGACATTTTGTGATCTTGTGGAATGCTGCTGTTAGCTTTTTTTTTGTCCCAAGCTATAAATCAGAGCTCTCAAACACACCAAAATCTTGGACATGTGAACAAAGAACCACAACAATATTCTAAAGCTACAATATTATAGAAACTGGTTTCTTGCTTTACATTTTCGTAAGGATTTCAGTCTTCTCTCTCCCTCTATTCCCCCATCAGTAGTTTTACCAAAATTTAAAAAGTCTTTAAAATGCTAATCCCCATGCTGAAGTATCACCTATAATTTAATTCCACCTGGAGGCATTTTTTGACTTTTTCTTTCAGTATGTAACTTTGTAATCTGCTGTGAAAGAGTCATGTTGCTGACTCACCCTGGCAGCCAGCTAGTCATTCTCACTAGCTGACAGAAGGATAAAGACTTAAGATCTCTAACACAAAAGAGTAGTAGCAAGGGCAAGGTAAGAAATGAAGGGGGAAAGTCTAAATAATAATAAAAATCCTTGAATTCTGAGCTAATAGAATAACCAACGCTGAGCTGTGAGTTTCAAACCATAATATGTAGTTATCATCTACAAGCAACTACACTGGTGGCAGCATAATGGAAACTCCACTTGTTTAGATAATTTTAAAAGCAGAAACAGAAAATGAGGAAAGAAAGACCCAAGTAGAACACTTGTTGCAACTACCAGGGAAAATTTTAAGTCACATTTCTGTCTGCAGATTAGTTTCCTACCTTTGGAACCAAACATTGCTGAAATACTCATCTGTCAAGTCTTATGACAAATTCTTAAGCATCAAACAATATGACTAACTTGCTGTATCATTGCCTGGGGTTGCATTGCAGAGATGTATTCACAAAAGTCTTTTTTTGCTACATTATTGATGTATGGAATTATTTTTTATTATGTTATAGATGTATGGATTTGATGGATGGACTGTTCAGTGGATGAGAAATTGATCACTAGTCTTTGGATGTGACCATCCAGCCAATGGTTCAATGTCCAGATGGACATTGGTGACATGTTGTGTCCCTCGGGTCCGTACTGTCACCAATACTGTTTAATGTCTTCATCAATGACATAGTGGGGTCGAGTGCACCCTCAGCAAATTTGCAGACGACTCTAAGCTGAGTTATGCAGTTGACATGCTTGAGGGATGTGATGCCATCCAGAGGGACCTGGACAAGCTCAAGAAGTAGGCTCATGTGAACCTCATGAGGTTCAGCAAAGCCAAGTGTAAGGTGCTGCACCTGGGTCAGGGCAAGCCCTGGCATCCAGACAGGCTGGGGGATGAAGGGATTGAGAGCAGCCCTGTCAAGAAGGACTTGGGGGTATGGGTGGATGAAAAGCTTAACAGGAGCCAGCAGTGTGTGCTCACAGCCCAGAAAGCCAGTTGTATCCTGGGCTGCATCAAAAGCAGCATGGCCAGCAGTCGAGGGAGGTGATTCTGCTCCCCTGCTCCGCTCTGATGAGAGCCCACCTGGATTCCTGTGTCCAGCTCTGGAGCCCTCAGCACAGGAAAGACATGGACCTGTTGGAGCGGGTCCAGAGGAGGGCCACAAAAATGATCAGAGGGCTGGAACACCTCTCCTGTGAGGAAAGGCTGAGAGAGTTGGGGCTGTTCAGTCTGGAGAAGAGAAGGCTCTGGGGAGACCTTATTGTAGCTTTTCAATACTTAAAGGGGGCTTATAAGAAAGACGGGGACAAACTTTTAGTGGTGCCTGTAGCGATAGGACAAGGGGTAATGGTTTTAAACTGAAAGAGGGTAGATTCAGACTAGATATAAGGAAGAAATTTTTTTTACGATGAGGGTGGTGAAACACTGGAACATGTTGCCCAGAGAGGCTGTAGATGCCCGATCCCTGGAAACATTCCAGGTCATGTTGGATGGGGCTCTGGGCAACCTGATCTGGTTGAAGATGCCCCTGCTTACTGCAGGGTTGGTGGACTAGATGACCTTTAAATATCCCTTCTAACCCAAACCATTCTATGATTCTATGATTATATCTATCAGATTTTGATCCTGAGATCTATCATATTAAAATTTTATCAATTAGTTTTGGGTATCAAAACTCTGTCTTCATGTTCTGGGAGCAGGAGGAGACACTAAAACTCAGAAATTATGAATTTCGAGTGGACTTCAGCACTATTATGTTTCTTTGACTGAATGGTACTGTTCACCCATTTTACCAATTTCTGTGTATTCCTGTCTGATGGAATAGTTTTGTCATCATTGCAAAAGATACAGGGGAGAGATCTTGAAAAACATGAATACATTCTGGGGAATGCTGAGAATCCAATGAGGGGTGTATTTTTGACTAGCCATAGAATCCAGCTCAGTATTTCCTACCTATTCCATATTTCATGTACACTTCTCTCGGTTCATTTCTTGTGATCAATATTTAACAGCTTGGTAATGGCACACAGGGCACAAAATAAACAGTTTAGATTTCCTCCTGACAAATGCAGTGATGAATCACTTCCTGTCCATCAGAGGCAAAAGCAGGGTGCCCATTTGTCATTTAGAAAGCTTGAAGCCAACATCACTTGAGTTTTACTAGTGCTGTGCACACACTTCTGCTTATTATGACTAAAGCAGAGAATCAGATCATCTCTGATTCCACTGAACTGTGGGGGCTTTCAAACTGATAACAAAAAAAAAAAAAAAAAAAAATCTAAGTTATGTTAGGTTTGGGGACAATACTCTAATGGTTTTTTTTCTGTGTTTTTCATGGGTAATTTAATTACTACTTGGGTGAAATATCAATATGCTTTCATGGAAGGAAAAATACAACTGAACCTTTTTTGTGAGTGTACTGCCTTTTTTTTATTTTAAAGGCTCATAAATGTCGTTTTGCAGTAGGCTATATATAGCAGTACTAGATATAAAACAACTCATACAGAAATGTGCACTTCTTACAATTCCAGAAGCAAATTTTTCTTTTAGCAAACCTCAGTAAGCCTACTGTTTTCACTGATCTAAGAGAAATTACATATGCATGTGCAAAGACATAATATAAAACTTTTTTCTTGAAAATATATTAAGGTGTTAATTTGCTAATTTTCTTCTAAATTGGTACATATTTTTGTTAGGCTGAAGAGATAGCTTTGCTTGGTCTATTATTCTCTATTCCAGCAGAACTAGTACAAAAATGTAGAATTCTGAAAACGAGTGAAATCTGAATTGTAATGCAGAGGCTTTATGTCAGTACAACCTATTGACTGTTGAGTTTTCAAATAGCACAAATGGTTGAGGAGAAAAAGACTATTTCTGTAAATCTGAAAAATATTTTTATATAGAGGCTAATGAAACAGATTTAGAAAGAAGGATGTATTTTTCACTTGGTCTTTGATTCCAATTATTTTTAATTTACTAGTCTAATCTGAATACTTCAGCCTGAGATCTTTCATGTGTCACTAATATTTTATATACTTTCTTCATTATATGTCTGCTCCTACATAATATAAGGCATCTGTAGTCTACTTGATGGCATAACATTTTGAAATGTAGGACAATCAAAAATAAAAAAATCTGCCACATGAAGCACATGCATTATCTGTGTTTAATTATATTTTTCCATTTATTATGTAAACTTTGCTAACACTTATGTGTTTACAAGCTCTGTTAGAAATGATTAAGAATGTATCTGTACTCAAATCTTTGTCATTATTGCCATATTTAAAGGAAAAATTGTAGGAATGAAAATTTTGTGTGTTAAAGAATGAAGATATGAATTGAATCTGTATAGAATCTGACACCTGTTTCCACATTATTTTCAGTAGCTCTTCGACTAGATGACCTTCTCTTTCATATTTTAGTGTTAAGTAAACATTGTATGGAGCTGAGAAATGTATAGGAATGGGAAACATATGCTAAAAAAATCTGTTTTGAACTAATAGTATATGGTTGAACTGTCACTGAAATGTCACTCTAGTTGCTGCCTATTGATAATTCTTTGTAATTTTTGCATGAATGTCAAGTTTAATTTAAATTGTGCTTGTAATTGGTAAAAGTCAATCGGTTAAGCACAGCTCCCACTGAAGCTATATTACTTTTTCCTCGCTTAGTGTATAAGCATTAATCAGCTTGAGTTCTCTGTGTGAGCTTAGCATCCTCTTTGTTGGTGTTGTGATGATAGCTAATTTGGATAAATTACTAAAGGAATCTGCTCCCCATCCCTATTTCTGTTCAATACTAGGGAAATGTTCAGTGCTGCTTTTCTTAATTTTGCTTTTCCCTTGCAGGAAGGAGGTGTGGTTGCTCTCTTTAAGGTCTGTCGCCAGGATTGTTTCAGGTGCCTTTATCCCCAGACACTGAGAACGCTGGCATCCATCTGCTGTGTAGAGGAAGGGATGCACCAGCTGGAAAAAGTAGGTACTTCAGTGTTCCTTACCGACTGTCATAAAACAGAGAAGTCCTGTCTTTAATATCTTCTATGAACTGATAACTTGGTAATGTTTGGTACTGTGCTCCATACTACCCTCATTTTCTCTGTGCTGAACACATCTCCAGTCTTTACAAAATTAGTCCCAGCAATAACATCCTATTCTGTTGCTTGCACAAATAAGCTTCCTACATGGGGATAATTTTCACAGAACAGGTAAATATGTTAATGACTACATAAAATAAACTAGGGAAATTATTATTTCTGGGCTCTCTGAAGTGTTTGTTTAGAAAATCCGATGTTTCAAATAACCCTTAAAATACAGAAAGCTTTACACCTCTTTAAATCCTTTCCTGAAGCTCAGGTAGGGCACTGCTTGTGGTACTGCAGTAACTTGTGAGAGTTGTAATTGCACAGAAAGAACTGGGAGAGGTATAGCAGCTAGCCAATAGAAAAATATGCCTGCTAATCAGCAACAACTCTCGTAAAAGCCAGTTTTAACTGGGATGGCAAACACCAAAACATTATCCAGCTAAAATTATATCAACTGCTTAGGCTCTATTCCTTTCTCACTCTCACTACATACTGCTGTGTTTTGGAAAACGAACACTTCTGGTCACTGAATCATGATCTCATCCTTTGTATTTCATAAAACAGTCATCTTCCACAGCTGAATAATGGCCTCTTCAAGTTAATGATAAATGATTTCTCTGCCATTTTACATTGACGTATCTTGTAATTTACTGCCCTGAATTCAAGCAAACTGTGACAGAACATCTGCAGCAAAAAGAAGTCTCTGAGCTTACAGTAAATGAAGATGACTTAAATTTTTTTTTGACATAATGCTGGTTCAGACTGACACCAGAATCAGTCTAAAAGGATCTTTCATTATGTCCACTATAATAGTAGAATTAATAGAGTTAGAAATTGAAAAGATTGATTCAGCTCACCTGGTCCAATTCCTGGCAGTGTCAACATGCATTTCTAATATGACCCATATCAAAGCTGATGAAGCAGGAGTCCTAGAAAAAGTGATATTTCTCAAGCTCATATGTCTTTGATCTACTTTAATGTTGATCACAAGTAAAATTGCTCAGGGTAAACTTTGTCACAATCAGGATTGGAGTAGGGTTTAAAGGATTTTTGACTGAAATCTCTACCACTGGTTTCAGTAGTTCATTTTTCACATGGGCCTTCAATTCCTGAATCACATCTTGGTAAAACCTAAGTCTGCAGCCTGAGGGGCTGGACATTAATCCCACTCACCTGACTGTACCAACAGGTTTGACAGGAGTATTTGGTTATTGTTTTGTCAACTTCTTTGCCTAAAATTGTGTTGCTGAGAATCCATATGTTATGTGGATCCAGTGCATGCCTCGGTTTCTTGTGGTGGAGGACGGGATGTTTCATGTCAAAAGAAGCAAAGACTTTTTCTCTGAAAGGTGGGTAATGTCCCTCCAAGTGCTAATGGAGATTAAACAACACAAACTAGTACAATGCTACGTCATCGGGAAATAATCTGTCAGCTGGTGACAGCCCCAGTTTGCCAATTTATAGAGCTGAAGCAGGATAGTAAATAAGAAAGTTTTTATATTCTTTGTACTCTCTTTTCACCCTTCTTGTACACCTACTTAGAAGCGGCAAGATATTCTGACCATAGAGAATCAATGGAAAGTGTGTGACTCGGATGACAAGTATTTTGATGTGAACAGCACTCAATTTTTTTTATATTGTTGTCTTTAAATAAGAACGATCTTTTTTTTCAAAATTTGAAGTACTCTTGCAAACCAAAAAAGAGAGTTAACAATATTAGCATTCCTTTCATTACAGAAATTACCATAGGACTTCTTATCTGACAGAAAGAGGAGCTTCTATTATTCAACTAAGAACCTGGGTAATGGTGAAGCATTTAATTTGCTCTAATGTGAATATCATTATGCCACCTAGTGCATTAAAACATCAGTGCAATTTGAACTTGATTTTTGATGACAGAAACCTCATTCAAACAAATAAAGCTTGCCCTCCAAACAATTCAGATTAGGTAATTCAAGATTAAAAAAATTTTTAAAACCCCACAAAACCCAAATAAATCCCATCCTACTCTATTTTTTTATTAGATTTCACAACCATTAAAGCATTTAAAAGACCAATTAAAAGCAAGCAGCAAGAGCTATCATTTCTAATGGAACATTTGTCTGGGAGGTGAAGTAAAATGAGGTGGAATACTTTCTGCAGTAATTGTCGTGCTTTATTACTAAAGACATTCGGAATATTGTTTATTTATCCACTGCTCTTTGATCTTGCCAATTCAGTAGCGACACAAGAAGGTAACAAGAACATCTGCGTTAATGTGGATGGTTATTTCGAAAGCAAGCAAAGAAGTCAATAGTCCACAGGAGGCAAACCAATAGAGAGTATTTTAACACTTTTCTTGGGTTTTAAGACACCTGAATATTAGGCTTTCTTTATAATTAGTGCAAATTTATTGTGAAAAATTTAATGTGAATGGTGTTATACTGGATTTAAATAATTTGTCTTGAGTCAGTTTTTGGATTGCAGTGTGGAAATACTGTCCTCATTTACTTGTGAAGGAAAGTAACTATTGTGTTCTCACATTAAAAGATGTAGAAAATTGCCTATTTTAAGCAAAAATGTCTTCCTCAATTTTTAAAAAAATAATTCTTGTTCTTCCCAGTCATGCATCTTTAAATACATATCTGCACTGCTCTCTTACCAGCACACTTGAAAAAGCTATTATTACTTTTTCACGATCGTGACAAACAAGCTGATCTTTGCCATAATCACAATGACCAAGTAGTTGTTCCAATGACTAACTTTTACTCTTTTAGGTGAATCTAGTTTGCTGCATGTACAGTAATGCAAAATCAGTTGGTTAAAATGCCAGTTTTAGAATAGTTATTATTTCACTTGCAAATGCTTTACTGACTTTTGAAAAGATACTGTTACTTTGTTGTACCTTGTCCTACAGAACTCCAGGAACTCCACAGTAACAAATTAGTCAGGCAATTAAAGTAGAAAGACAGTGAAGAAATACTCTCACTTTGTGACTGAGGTCTACATGTAAACAAAGGTTCTATGTAACATGTGCTCCATAAGTGGTAATTTTGGTGCTTCAAGCTACTTACGAATGTGTGGTTGTTTGGTATGCTTTAACATCATAATCCACTGTCGCACCAGCAGGTTTGAGATCGTCCTTTGGTCTCAGCTGCCCAACCAGTCCCACTTCAGATAGGAGCGGAAAGACCCTGGAAAAACAATCAGAATTTTCCTCCTTTGCATTATCCCTGTAGCTGCCTGTCCCTGTACTCGAGAGATTTGTCGTCTGTGTCTTGTGGCACTTCAGCATGCAAAGTTTTTAGGAGAAAGCTCACTGCATCAGAAAGGATGGTTATACTTTGTCTAGGCATTCCAGAGTTTATGCAGAGACGATATATAATACAGGTAATAGATAATACAGAAACCAGCCAGAATTGCTAAAACCAGAACTGAAAGGAGTTTAGGGGAGATGAGCAGGACCGGAAACTGAAGAACAGTGTTAGAGCTGCACACACAGACCTGTGTGTGCATCCAGCCCTGAGGTTTAGGACAGAAATACAATGATGTAGTTGGAGATTGGTTCTCAACATAGACATTTGTTGAGGGTTCTAGAGGGAAGAATATCTGAACCTTCACAAGTGCGCCTTGAAAACTTAATTCACCTCAAGGGTTCCCTTGTTGGAAGGACTGCTGAAAGCACAGGGCTGAGATAGATTAACATGTGCCTTTCATGAAACTTCAGTCAAATACCATTTTCGTTATCAAGACACACATAAGATCTAACAGATATTGTCTTTAACATGAAGCAACCTTGCCTGGAAAAAACATTTGTAATTGAATACAATCACATATCTTTACACATTGTTTGCCTAAAGCAGTTCCTCAGCCCTTTCCATTCCTGAGGTTACATTAGGTCCTTGTTTTGCAGAGCGCTCTGAACGCAGTGTCTCCTGTACACATGCTGATATGCAGCTTCAGTAAACTCTGAAGACTGTGGCTGTTCCTCTGCTGCAGGTCTGTTCATATAATGCTGCTTGTTGACTGGTGCTAGAAGGCATGGCTTTCAAACTTTTGTCCTATGCTGAAGCTCAGTTGTGTGATTTTCACTGAGGCAAACTTCTTGCTGCAATAAAAGAATTGTAGAGTTAGTTCAGAAATAAATAGCAAACATATAGTGCAATGTACTGCAATTTTTACTGTGCATGTGAAACATTATTACGTTAAAAAGCTGCAACTCAGCTGGGACCTAGATCAAGGCTTAACTGCCACAGAAACATAATGAATTATAGAAATAGCCATTCAAGCAGCTGCCTAAATATTATGTGTGCAATGTATGTTTACTTTCATTATTTAAACTACTCCAGAAGGCAAGACACCTGGAATCAATTAATTAAGAGAAGATATTCCTGAGAGACTAGTGACAACAGTTGTTACTTTCATTAATAAAACCTTCTTTTTAACAAATGGCACAGCTTTTATCACTGTACTTTAACCAAAATTGCTTAGATATAGATTATACGTTGCTTTAAACTCTTCATTAAAGCACATTATACCAAATTGCCTCCAGAAAAAGAATCTGAAGACGGGGGAAGCAAGTACAAAGTGTACATTGTTTCTGGTTGGGAAGCCGCATGAATTTCATGAAGACTTCCTAAACAAGAGTGACCTAAAATCTATTGTTCATTGTGAATCCAGTCTGACTTTTAAGAACAACCATGGTCTTCTACACAATAATAACTGTGAGCATGATGGGGACTTAGTCTGTCAATGATATACATGAAAACAAGTTTTTAGTGGGAATTGAGTAAAAAGTTTGTTACAGAACCTGCAACTACAATTTATTCATAGCATTTGGGTGAATGTGAGGTGATCACTTCATTCAGGTCTAACCACTTTGAATTTTCGGTTTTTAACATCCACCTAAGTCAA